CAAACCAACGACCACCATCTACGCTACCTGAGCTACCAACATTTTCCTCTATAGACCACGATTGTCGAACACCTGAAGACGTCTCAGTTCCGCTGCTCGAATAGGCCAAGTCTCACATCCATACAAGAAAACAGTCCGTACTGTAGCTTGATACACACGTCTCTTCAGATTCAAGGATAAACCATTCTGATAATCTCGTCCATATGACTGCTTCTTTTCAAGTTCGTTAGAGATGAACTGCCGTACAACAGCAGTGCTAACATGTATGCAAGGCCATAACAAGCCTATGAATGTCAAACGACAGTGTAGTTCCTTCCTGTTTTGATAAACCGAATATGTTTTCGGTACTTGCGGGTAGGAATGGCTGGTAGATCCGAGTGTATGCTACACACAGCCTTTCCGCAAGTGAAGACAACCTATTCTGAAAGCCGAAAAGCAAGAGTCGCACACCCATGACCTCTGGGCCGACCGGTTGAACACGTGACCTTAGGACTATAGGGAGCTTAGGCAGGGAAAATCGCAAATCACCCTGCAATCACGGAAAGCACACTATTATCGACGATAATATGGCGTTTCTCTTACGTTATCGAGTAAATGACAAATGACGTGCGCACGACAAGAAATTTGTAGCGTAGCAGCGAATTGGAAGTCACGTTCGAATCAAGTCATCAACATTATATACTGTGGATGAACGGCATTATTCGGTGGCATCATCGACAGACAGCAAACGGCAAAGGCCTGGATGTCAACCTGTGTAGTCAGTTAGCAACCAGCGTTCTCCTCGCTGGATGGCAGCATCTTGATAAGCACCATTGTTCTTAAAGCTCCTTTGATGCAAGTCCATGACTCCGATCAGTTTTACGCCCAGATAAACTCAGCGTCATCGGGGTAGCCCAGTGGTTCACGAGCGAACTTCGGACCGTAGAGTGCTTGGCTCGAATCCAACACCGGCATTTCGACTGCTTCTGTCTAAGCTTAGAAAAACCCAGCAGTAGCTGAGTTCGCGTGTTTTCCCTGGTTAGCATGGCACTCCTGAACCGAAGATTTGTTATTATTTATTTACTTATTATTCATTTATAGATGTTCTTGATTTAAGGCATATTCTGGCCCGTAGTAATGCGAGAAATCGTTGATGCGGTGTCTGGAGTAAAACCTGAAGTGTAAAGCACCCGAGAAATTCAATGCCGAACATAATCCGTCACTCATTTCTCTATTCTTTACTGTGTTCCTCTAAGATGGTTTTATCCCTCAGAAATGATCCCAATAATTTCTCCAACGGAGGACGGATTCATAAGCTCGATAGTGTGGTTACCGGGAACTGAGAAAGAAAATTATAAAAACAATTGGAATCGATCTCTAGGGGTGATTTCAGGTAGACTTGAAAAGAAAGGTGATCACACAAGCCCATCTTTTGTTTGCAGACAAAGTTGAAGATATGTGCGGTGTGCAATCTCCAGGATGTACTCTCTTGTACTCCACTCGATGGCTCATATTCAGATGTTTCTAAATTGCAACAGCTATCCAAAACGTCTTCCGTGACAGGCGTTTTGGAAACCCGAAAATAGTTCATATGAGTGATTTACTCGCTTTTTTGGAAATACGCCTAACTGATATCCAGCTGAACTTGACAAGCTGATAAGTTCTTCATTCGTTTACCTACGATCTCCTCTGTACTTATTGATTTTCACATGTTTCCGCGTTTTTCTCTCCTTACCCTACTTCGCTGGCTGACTCACCCGACACTCTGGTGGGGAACTCTATATGTTTATTGTTCTGTTCGCTGCGGTGAACACTGTTCATGCATTTCACCCCAAACTGAAGTAATGAACTCAATGTATAGTGAGTTGGCGGTGCATCGAAGTACCTCGTTGAACTTTGGTACGATGCACCGCAATTATCATGTCACCTCGATAGCGAGCAGAACGACCAATATGGTCCTCGAAGTGTGTGTAGTGCACCCAGCTCATACTGAGCCTCCTTGGCCTGCTTACTGGCTATGCCATGACACCAGGATGACTGAATCATTGATCAGAATCACGAGAGGGATTACTCAAAGGATCACCGCAACCCACCGCTCTTGTTGGTGACAGTAGTGTACGTGGACAGTTGGGGAAATTATACAGTGGAAACCGAAGCGTAGAATTTCAAACCCAAGTCCTTTCTTTGGTTTTCAGCATCTTCTCACTAGGTTTTCTGGATCCTTTATCAGGAACTCAGTACTTGGTTTCGACTGTCACACTGCACATTTTTGGATGATCAGGTACTGACCAGTTTTTCGTCTGCCCTACCTGCCCCAACTTTCAAATTTCAGGACGGATAATTCAACTTCAATATCACAGGCAGATGTGCTCTTTCTCCCACAGTCCACATGCCAGAAAAAGAGTCCGGCTTTTTTGCAAAAACGTCCCAAGGCAGTCGCCTTTCATAGGGCTCAAATCAATGTGAACGCTTTGTGCCCAGACAGTAGTGTAGCGGACGAACCAAGCGGGATGACACAGCAACATCAGCATCGACAACAGCCACTGAGTCCTTCGATGGGAACGGTGAACACGATCACCGTGACCACATGTCCGAGCAGCAGATGGTCTCGCGCGACGCCAAACCAAACGCAAACGCACCCGCTTTCGCCCAATCGCACAACACCCATATCGGAACCATCGCGCAAAGCGATGCAGACTAGCTTGCTGGAAACGGCAAAACTGCTCTTGTCGGAGTCAAGCAAGCTGGAGCCGGTGCCTTTGGGTGAGTGGTTTAATGATCCTGTCATTTTGTGTGTTCTTACGTAAGTTATGCAACCGGCAGCTCCTGACGGGTCACGGTGTAGCGGTCTATACCATCGATGAAGCATGCGAGTCTGGTGGTCAGGTGTCCACATCTGATGGAAGGTGAAGTTCAAGAGGATGCGTGAAAATATTCAGTTTTTTTGAAAAAAAAACGTATGAGGAGATGAGATATCACTTCCGTGTTTACTGACTTGTAACTGCCTACTTTATGCCTGATAATAAGTGAACGGCAAACCTCTTTTCAACGGTATAACAGCTACAGGACCTTAGTGAAATACACTCATTTGCGTACTACTTTGGTTCTGAAATGAGACTCACCGTGAACCCAGCTGAATCCCTCGTTTATGAATAGTATATTACATTTGTACATGTATCGCGATATCTCGAATGCTGTACCAACTGAAACATGAGGCTGCGTGCAACAGTACATTCGGTTGCTCGAAAATACTATAAACAAAGAATTCGGCTGGGTTTTAAGTCAGTCACCAGTCAAAACCAAATTGATTTTCAACTGAGTGTATTCCAATAATTTCATACAATTTGGGTTCAAGTAGAACATAAAGTTGACAGAAACTCGGGGACTGCGCCTAGCTGATGAGCTCTAAGAAGGTGAAACCGGTGCAGGCTGTTCAAGGGTTCTTCGGCAACCTTATGAGCAGTGTAATGCAGCCATTGGATTTATCCGCAACCTTGGTCCTGCATTATCTCGCTCACGCAAATTTCAACCCACTTTCAACGGATGGAGCAAACGAAAAAGCTTGGTGACTGACCTAAGTGCAAATGAGGCTGCGTCGAGTCACATGACCTGCGGTCAGTGAAATTCTCGGTTGATCATGTCGGGCGTGTTTTAAATCATCCTGCCAAAAAAGGTCCGAAAATACTTTCAATGCACTACTCATAAGGTTGCTGAAAATTCTTTGACAGCGCACGACCGGTTTCGACCTTCTTGGAGCTTATAAGGTAAGCGCGATCCCCCAACTTCTCGTCAAACTTACGTTCCATTTGTACTTACACTGGACGAAATTCGCAAAATACACTCCTTTGCACACTAATGGGTGTTCACAAGAGACTCAACTTAATCTCTCGTTTATGATGTTCTACAACTGCATGTGCTGCACACGGGCCGCCTCATGTTTCATTTGGCACGATATTCGAGATATCGCAGTATATTTTCATAAAGGAAACTACTCATAAGGTTGCTGGAAACTCTTCGACAGCCCATGACCAGTTTTGCCCTTCTTGAGGCTTATCAGGTAGGCGCCGTCCCTGACTTTTGGTCAACTTTATGTTCTACTTGAACTCAAATTGCATGACATCAAAACTGAGAGATTCAGCTGGGTTCCAGGTGAGTCTCTATCAGAACCAAATTTGTTTGCAAATGAGTGTGGGTCCAAAAATACTTTTATACGTTTGATTTCAGATGTCACTTATTTGTTTCATGTGCCATCCAAATAGTCGCCTTCCTCTAGCAGCCTAAATATGGATCTGTTCTGGACAGGTGTCTTCACTAAATGTCTGCCGGTTTATGATGAGCCGCAATGGCTCAGGTCAGATTACCTTGATACATTGTTTGCAAGCGCAGCGTTGCAATACTCCAAAGACTTGTTTACGTCATATGACATGAACTTCAACAATCGTGTACGGATATGGTGCCTCTGAATTGTCGATTTTTCAAATGATACCCAGCACTTTCGTACAATGTATTTCACTACTCATTCCAACTTGCTCACATTTCAGTCCGTGACCCTAATCTCAAGTAAGTTTTTGTTTCCAAATTTGTTTCGTTCGCATCCTTACTACATCAGCTCTAACCATCTTGACGTGATCAGCACAGCGCTATTGCGTATCCCTCCTGTATTCCAACTTTACTTGCAGACACTTTGTAACGGATCAAATGGTGAGTATTCATTCCGCGACGAATCGTAATTGAACTAGGTTGGTGGAGGAGATGCTGGTCTGACTGGAGTGGATCACGAAGGGACTGGACGCGTGCGAAACAATCGGGAACGGGTAAGTGCTGGGCAAGATTTGTCGAAATATAGGTAACTCGGGTGTGTTTACTACTGGTTGATCAGACTTGTGAACGTAGAAACCACATCGATTCTAAAGGATTTTGAAAAATAATGCACATTTATTTGAAATATCTCAAATGCCTTCATTGAAGAAATCAATTGGTGGATTTATTGAGTGACGAGGTTTTTCGATTTATTACCAAGCTACCTAAGGTACAAGGCAGACTGAGGACAATACAGCGAAGTTGGAATTTGCTCATATTATGCTAATTCTACGTGAACTGCCATCCTGTTTAGGAGAGAACGATCTGTAGTGCGTAATTGTCTACTAGCCAACACGAAATAAGCGGTTACAAGTCATTAGTCACCAAAATTAAAAGTGAACTTTCTGAGACCTTGTTTGAAGGTCAAGAAACAATGAATAAACACTGCAGAGAGCAGCTGCGTATTTTCCGCACCAAGCTTCCTTCAGACGGCGCTTTGACACCTGGATAGATATTACGAGCATATTTCATCAGTAGTATACACCGTCACACTAGTAGTTTGTGCGGACACATTTTCCATCCTTCATACAGCGGTTCACCGAGACGCATTCACAGTGAAACTTACGGGTAACAGCATAGTTTTTCGCCGCTTTTCTTCCATCCTAAAAAAGGACTTATCCGCCATTTTAAAGGATTATCTGGCTCAATTGTGCTTGCGTTTCATATGTAATCAAACCAGTGTACTTTCGTTCCGACCATAAGTAAGTCAACTGAATGACATACCCCATTTCTAGCCACATCGATGTAGACAATTTGACTTGCTTATGTTATGTCTCGCGAGAAAGCCCCTGTAGCTTTTCACCTTGTTTACAAGTTGAGTAGGCATCTAATGATATCTTTACTATGCATTCAGATCATTACTAGGCTTTGTTGCTTTTATCAACTGGGTTGTGTATGGTATCCTCTAATATTTTTTCTCCGATTTTCCGCATTTAGCGACGACAACACGAAGCCAATGAACTTCAGAAGCAGATTGAAGCACTGAATTCGGTGAGTTTTGCCCCGTAATATATTTGTAATGGCCTAAGAGTTTGTAAGTGGTAATGAATGTTGTTTCAAACCTCGCCACAAGTTCCTCGAGAGCCTATGGGCGAAAATACGCCAACATCTAACCTGAAGCTTAGCGCAGCCCGCCGCTTCCTATCCCCCACACTTGATCCCCAAGACTGGCTCGCTGCTTGGATTGTTACACAAAATTAACTACTTGCAGGTTATTGAATAGTATCCTCAATTTGTCGAAAAATAGGTAGCTCGGGAGTGTATGCTAGTGTTTGGTCAGATGGCAGTAGTCTCCTCTTTTAAAGTTTGCTTCAAGACATGCTAATTGGGGACTACTGGGGGCTCATTTCAAGCTGAGCCAACCTCAGTCGAAGTAAATGGCCTAGTTGTGTCGCTATTAAATTGCCCACGAATGAGTAGGTAACACTGACATATTCCGTATGTTCTCGGTCGCCAGTCTCTCTTCACCTATGTAAGGTAAACTGCACGAACGCACGCAACCGTAAACTTAGCTGTGAACATCCACCTTCAGTAATCGATTCCTATGGATCTCTGTCTGGTGTAATAACGGTGATGTGTCAGCTCCATTCTCGGTCTGAATCTTTCGAGCTTCTTGTCAAAAAACCACCGAAGGTGCATAACGTGTATTAAACCTCAGAAACCGGGTCAGTATTTGAGGTGTATCAGTCGACAAGATTCTAGAATATCCCTCCCCTTTTTGAGGAGGTATTGGCAACCGGCATTCGGCCGATAGTGGATCGTGGTTGGCTGTTAGGTCCACAGTCTCCACCAATCAGGGCTCGCCTAGATGTTGGACAAGCAGGCGGCTGAATCATCCGGCCAATCCCAAGCGGTTTGTGTTTATTGGCCGTGGCAGCGGTAAAGCGGATTTGGCATAAGATTCCACCCAACACTGTGTTCCGTTTAACCTTGAAGCAACTGTTCCAGAGTCTCTAAATCCTGACGTTTCACTGACCCAGGCGTTCTCCAGTGTATTTCTTCCTTCGACCAGTGCCACAGACCAGGTCTATTCATCTGATTTGTTACAAACCACTGACCTTTTGTTATTTAACCTCACTCTACAATAAGCCGCGCACCTACAAAATTGAGCACCCAGTAAAATATTGGGTCCCATAATCCGTTTGTCTACTTGGAAAGTCAGACGAGCCTCGGGAGGTCCTGCCGTTCTTTAATCGAATGAGAATAACAAGCACTCTTCAAGGGTGCTGATAAACAAATCTGAGACTACATTCATTCGTATATCAGATGTGTTTTCATGGCAGATTAAAATGAATCTCTCATTTATAGTATCCTTCGAGTGAATTTGCTGCACGAAAGTCACCTCATTTTTTAATTGGTACGATGTTTGAGATGCGATATGTTTTCATAGAGGAAGCCACTCACAAGGTAGCTGAAAACGTTTCGACAGGCCACAACACGTTTCGCCCTTCTGGGAGCCCAGCCTGTGGGCGCGGTCCTCAAATTTCCGTGACCCTTACGTTCTACTTGAACCCAGAGTGGACGAATTTCGACAAATGCACCCAGTTTCATATCAAATGAGTTTTCACCGGAGACTCCTCGCCATGGGCTGTCGGAGAGTTTTCAGCAAACTTGTGAAAGCACTGCAGTATCTTACCCTATGAGCAATAAGAGAAGCTCAGAGGAAATTAGCTGCCACACGCAACTGATTTCCTATGGAATGTGTGCTCTTGTAAGTAAAGTCAGCCCGAATTCAAAAGCCGAAAAGGTCCTTACAGTTTGTAATGTACTACTCATAAGGTTGCTGAAAATCCGTCAACAGCCAACGACCGGTTTCGCCCTGCTTGGGGGTCATCAGGTAGGCGCATTCCCCGGGTTTCCGTCAACCTTATGTTCTACTTGAACCCAAATTGGACTGACTGCGACAAATACAGTTGTTTCATTTTTATTGTGAATTACCCGGGTGTTTCGAACGCTGGTCGTTTGGGCATTTAAACAATCGGCCAACAATGTGGCCAACTGGCATTCACAATCCGCCTTGCAGAGAACTTTTTGCCTAGCTCTGTGTTCAGTGGAAGCGATCGAGATTTGAACAGTATGTGTTCTGTCAACAAAGTATGAAAACACTAACCAGTATACTTAGTCAGGTCGGCAATCGCCGCCTCCCTGGATGGGGACCCCGCGACTGATCTCTGGAAGAAATGAACCAACCTCGCAGTCAGTGGTACTCTTGTATTGAAGCTATCGCCTTCAATGCGTGGCTACCCGATTCCCCAAACGAATTGAACATGCCATCAACTCCAAGGCTTGGCCTCGCACCCTCTTAATTTCCGGTGATCAAAACCGTAACCGATAAATCGAAATGACTGATTGGTTGACATTCACCTTGGCACCATGATTCACGATGTTCGTAGGATGGTCACACTGGATTCAAAGAAAGACACAATTATCCAACCTTGGGTCACGTGAAGTTTAATTCTATTCTCGAGGCAGACATTTTTTCCCGCTCAAGTGACTTAATAACCCACCAGAAAACGCTAGAAGGTTCTGTCATCCAATGAAATTCTAAAACGAATGACTCATATTTTTACACTGATCGACTATGAACGCACTGACTCTGTTTCAGACGATTGAGCGTCTCATTGAGAGAACCAAAGAAAAAGCGGAAGTACTAAACAACGTAATACAAGAAACGTTGAAACAGATAAAGATGATTTGTTTGCAAAGAGAAACAAAGCGAAGACACAAGATGAAAGAGAAACGACAAATCACCAGGGCGGTAAGTTTTCTTATGTGTGAAATTTGCCATACACAATTGGGTTTCAGTCTAGACCGTCGACGCTTTCAGTTTGATTCATTCACAATTACGATTGTCTTTAGAAATACCTCAAGGTTACAAAAGGGGGGGGACATTTTGTACTCCAACACAGGTTTACCGATCGCACGGGGCAAAATTATTCTAGAGATTTCCTCACCTTTAAATGTTGCATAAGCATTCAACTGTCAATCTTTGTTTGTTACACGCGTTGTAAGACCTAAACAGAAGCGATTAACTCACATCTGAAACGCCGTGCTC